CATGAGACAAGTGCTCGGGCCTGGTGCACTGGGAAGACCCAGAGGGATCGGGTGGAGAGGGAGGTGGGAGGGGGGACCGGGATGGGGAATACATGTAAATCCATGGCTAATTCATTTCAATGTATGACAAAAACCACTGCAGTATTATAAAGTAATTAACCTCCAACTAATAAAAATAAATGAAAAAAAAAAAAAGAAAATTACCACTGATTTTTAATCCCTAAGTTTTATTTCATATCCATACTTATTAACCAAACGAATGCTAGGGCAGAACATAAATTACAGGATATGGTGAAGAAGGTAACGAAACAATATACCTCTAACCACCTCACTCATACCTTGGTTTGGAAATGGATTCTATTTCCTTCCTTCCACATCTCAGTCTGCAAAGTCTGTCCCGGGTATACTGGTTTTGCAAAACGAACCTTTAAAAGAACATGTGTTTAAGGGTTAAAAATGTTTTAATATAAAGTTTTTCCATTTGGGGAGGGGGGTAGTTTCGGGTGGAGGTTGGAGAGCATAAAAGGAAGAAATAGGCTTGACTATACTTAAATTCACAGAAACAGTAATATGATAAAATTAGTAAAGAAAGGTTATAGTTAGTATAAGTTAATTGTCTTTCTAAGCATAGAATCAATAAATAGTTCTCTCTTGACAAATCAAGACATAGAAGAATAACCATATTAAGCAAAGTTATACGGGCAACCATTAGTACAACTAAAAAAAAAGCAATTAAAAGTGGTACTAATTAAGTCTGGGGAATAAGACCTGGGGTTGGCATATAGGAAAGAATAATTCTACCTTTTATTTCCTAATTTTCTATACGATTTTATTTGTTCTGTGTACATGTTATTGGAAAATAATAAAAACTATTTATAATAATCACTATAAAATAGTTTTAATAATGAGAATAATCAGTGTTACCAAAGACAAGACATCAGAAAATAAATTTCCACTGCTGCATGGAACACAAACTGATAAAAGTTTTTAGAGTTTTTTGACACTGTCTTAATGACTTTTTTTTAAAGTGTATGTCTTGATACTGTGCAGATACTGTGCAGGGGGAGTTTTTTTGTAATTTATAATGGATTAAAACTTGAAGCTAACATACTGATATAGGTTTATGTTTGCTGCTGCTGCTGCTAAATCGCTTCAGTCTGTCCGACTCTGTGCAACCCCACAGACGTCAGCTCACCAGGCTACCCCATCCCTGGGATCCTCCAGGCAAGAACACTGGAGTGAGTTGCCATTTCCTTCTCCAATGCATGAAAGTGAAAAGTGAAAGTGAAGTCGCTCAGTCGTGTCCGACTCCTAGCGACCCCATGGACTGCAGCCTACCAGGCTCCTCCGTCCATGGGATTTTCCAGAGTACTAGAGTGGGTTGCCATTGCCTTCTCCAGGTTTATGTTTATTAAAGTTCAAATGCAGCCAGTTAACATTTTTAACTAAATTAAGGTAAATTATAAAATATTAAAACAAAATAATAACAATAATTTCTTAAAGGTATACCATAAGTTTTCGTTAAGGCATACACACTGACATATGTATGCTCTTAACTATTTGATAACTTATAAAATAATCAATCTGCTAAAAATATAATTGTATATAATAGTCTTTATGATACATGTGTATTAGAGGTATTTATAGCTATGAAAAGAAAACTTGAATACCAAGTCAATGAAATAATAAAAATAATAATTTCAGTACAGTACTTCCTTTAAATGAAGTCACTAAGACTCCTTCTTAGTTACATATAATATATATTTATATATATATATATATATATAATTAATGTAGACTAAGCATTATTATAAAAAACAGAGACATTACTTTGTCAACAAAGGTCCGTCTAGTTAAGGCTATGGTTTTTCCAGTGGTCATGTATGGATGTGAGAGTTGGACTATAAAGAAAGCTGAGCGCAGAAGAATTGATGCTTTTGAACTGTGGTGTTGGAGAAGACTCTTGAGAGTCCCTTGGACTGCAAGGAGATC